TGGTAATGACTCGACCCCAGGGGCCACATCTTTTGTAAAACTTCTCAGAGCAAGAGCGTGTGCAGCCAGGCTTGACACCCACTGCATTAGATCTAATCATTTCATGTTTAGTCATTTAGCCTAAAAAATCAGATGTAGACAACACTGCCTCAAGGATTTTTTTATTGCTGTGTTATGGTATATTTAAAAGGTTACACATCGAAACCGCCTCTTCTCCAGGGGGATGTTCTGCAGACTTTAAAAATCATGTTTGCCTGTTATTTTCTAATTTCCCAACAATGAACAATGCGTTATTTTTAACGGGGGTGGAGGATGTAAAAACAAACAAACAAACAGTGTTATGTTGTCCTTTTAAAAGAACTACAAGGAGAAACTGGCAACCGGAAAGGGAACGTGGTCCCCACCTCCTCCCCGCGCACGGGGCCCTAAATCATCCCGCCTTCAGCATCCTGCCGCCTCCCCTCCTGTCCTCGGCCCTCTCCATCCTCCCCTCGGGCGGGGCCTCCTTTTCCAGACGTTCATCTCGGGACACGCCCTGTACCCACTGAGATGGAGGGAGCGAGGGGTCGAGGCTGTGCGGAGAGGCCGTCCAGGGTCGGGGCGCCCTGGGGTGCCCGTGTTGGAGGAGGGACCCGCATTCGTGTGCATGGCGCGCGGGGACTCCAGCAGCCCCCTGGGCGCGCTCCCGGCGCCGGGGTCACCGAGCCGTCCCTCCCGCATCCCGACGCGCCTTCCCACCGGCGGCGGACGCGCCTTCCCACCGGCTGCGGGCGCGCCTTCCCACCAGCGGCGGCCGCGGCCCGGGCGCGGCGAGGAGAGTCTCCTGCCCGGCGGGGCCCGCGCTCCCGCGTCCCCGGTCCTCGGGCTCCGCCCCGCGGCCGCCCGGCGGGCTGCACCGGAGCCGCGGAACCGGACGGCGCGGCTCTGCCCCGGGCTCCTGCGCAGCCCGCAGTCCCGAAGCGACGCCCACCTCCCATCCCGAGCCCCGAGCAGCGATGGGGACGCCGGGAGCAGGGACCCACATCTGCTGCCTCTACCTTCGTCTTTGCAGCCTGCCCTCCCGCCCTTCCAGAAGTTTCTGGCCCCTTGAGCCAGTTTCTCTGTGTGTCTGGGGTGGACGGGGCAGCCACGTCCCATAGTCCGAGGCTCCTGAACGGGGAGGAGGATCCATCCGCTGACTGGGGTGGGGATGCAGTGTCCCCGCTCAGGGACTAATGGCGGGGAGGACCAGGAAGATGAGGGGGGCCCCCCCATGTTTTGTGAAGGTGCTTTGTACCCTTTTCTTGGCTAAAGCGCTGGAAACTCAGCGCCCCGGCCGCGTCTGCACCCCCGCTGGCCCCCTCCCCACTCCCTCCCTGTCCCTTTGAATGCCAGCTTTCCTGCCAGTCGTCACCCAGGAAAATCTGTTTTCACCACTTTAATGGCCGGGTGGTGTGGATCTTCGAAACCTGCTCCCTGACTGGTCCAGCGTTCTTTCCCCTCTCGGTGGATTATAAACACACCCCCCCACCCCCAAAGCCACTCTTCATTCAGAAAACTCAGGGAGTTGGGGGTTATACCTATTTCCAGCCTTTTTACCCCTTGCAGACTAGGCGATCCCCTCAGCTATTCAATAGCTGAAATTTTAAACACACACAGCCTCTCTCTCTCTCTCTCTCTCTCTTTCTCTCTCTCTCTCTCTCTCTCTCTCTCTCTCTCTCTCTCTCTCTCTCTCGCTGTTTGGGGTTGGTGAGGTGAGAACTGAACTGCCCCTCCCTCCCCCCCCCCCCCCCTCCCCCGCGCCTGCCTCCCTCTCCCCGGCCACCATTGTTGGGCTCAGGGATTTCCTGGGCTCCTCAAGCTCTGACCTTAGCCCCCCCAGGGAAGTAGGTCGCTGGCTTTGCAAACAGGTGTGGCCCGTCTCCTGCCTTTCCCAAGCCACCTGGAGAGAGATGTGGGGCCGCTAAGCCCACAGTCCTCCCCTTGCCCAGGCCTGCCATATCCCCCAACCAGAGCCAGGAGTCCGGGTCTGTGCTCGGCCGCCCCAGGGCCCCTGGTGGGCAGTCCTCCTGTGTGTCCTTGGACTGGACTGAGCTGGGCTCAAGAATCGGGCTGTGGGCACCCTAATCAGAGGACGCGGGATGATCAAGGCCAGTTTGGCACACGCATGCGGGCAGGCGAGGACGCGGCAGTATTGTGAGGTGAGAGGCCCCCTTGCCCCCTGCAGGGGAGGGCAGTGACCACCTGATTATGTGGTGGCACCAACTGGCCAAGGCCTCTTCTGTTGGAGCGTGTACATAAGTTGCCGCTGACCAGCCAGCTTGGGGGGTGCGTTTGTGCGGCTGCCTTCTACTGTGGTGGCTCCTGTGGTAGCAATGGCTCCTCGGCCTACAGTTAAGTCTCTCCTATGCATGCCTACGACTTCTCATGTCTCCACCTAATACCTGGCGTCCAAGGAGCTGTGCTCCCAACAAGGGCCCACCTGCCCAGCTGGTGTGGCTCAGTGGTTGAGCGTTGACCTATGAACCAGGAGGTCACAGTTCAATTCCCGGTCTGGCTGTGGACTCGGTCCCCACTATGGGGCGTGCAGCAGGCAGCTGATCAATGATTCTCATCATCGATATTTCTCTCTCTCTCTCCCCCTTCCTCTCTGAAATCAATAAAATATATTTTTTAAAAATAGGGCTCACTATTCCTGCCTCAGACTAGACTTGAGCACGCACCCCCCCCCCCACCTCCCAGTGGCTGGGCGGAGGCCACCACCCGCCCACCGCTGCTTGGGGCCCTTCACACGCTGTCCACAGAGCAGTGACCCACCCTGACCAGGCGGGAAGGTTTCTCAGAGGTCATCGGCCCTCCAGCAGGAAAGCCCCTCATGGCTGGGCCCCGGCAAGAGCAAACCAATCCGACCATTTCCAGCTGTTGCGTTGGCGCCGGGCTGGGAGCCGATGCTGGTCTGGATGGCACAAGCCACAGAGGGCTGGCTCCTGGGGGCAGAGGTGTGGCTAGTCTCCCATCGCTGTGTGAAAAAGAGCTGTGCAATTCTGTCTGCTTGGAACCCTAATTCTTAAAATATGTGGAAGTTGAACCCAGGCTGGTGGGTCAGGCTCTGTTTTGTTCTGAGTGGAAAGAAGTGTGTGGGGGGGGGAGGAGTGGGGAGGAAGACTGAGCACCTTTTTTCTAAAAAAAACTCCTGAACGTGTGCAGGCTCTGGCTTCGCTGGGATGGGTGGGGGTTATTTCTGGTACGTGGTGTCAGGGCAAGTGTGTGGAGAGCGGCTACAGCGTTTGGACAGGTTCAAGCCTCAGACTAATGAGAGGGCACAGTCTTCTCATGGCCACGTGCAAGTCCCAGCTGGAGGGCAGAGCCCTCCCAGCACCATGATAGCCAACAGCTATGGTTGTGAGCTGGAACCTGTGGTCCGAACACGTGGCCCCACGTGCCTGAGTGATGTGGGCTTGATAGAGTTCAGGTGCATGTAATTGAGTAGGCTCGAAACCCACGAGAATGTTGTAACCACGCCCTTACTTTGCCTCGTGGGATCTGGCTATAAAATAGAGACGGCTTGGAGTCCTTGGTGTCTCTCTCTCCATCAGACAGTGTCCCACCCAGACCCAACTTTTATTCTCTTGTCTGTCTTTTCTCAATCCGTCACTGCCCCCTCTCAGGGTCTCCCTTGGCCGTGCTGGCACGGCATAGGTTCTGACTTTAATACTCTGGAAACTGGAAATGTGGCCCCCTACCCCGCCCCAGGGTTGGGGAAGGGGAAGAAAAGGACTAGGATTAGAAGGACCTGGTAACTCAGGAGTCCCCTCTGTTCTTGCCAAACCCGAGAAAGCACAGCTTGCTCTAAGGACATCATCAAACCAGAGCAGGGCGTGGGGCCTGGTGCTGCCGTGGGGTGGGGTCCGGGGCTGAGACAGCTAATGAATTCAGGAGCCTGGGCCCTCCAGTCTCCTCTAAGATACAACGGAGGCCAGATATAGGAACGAAGAGTCTGAACAGAGAGATAGCACTTGACCAAGACCACATCGTCTTGAAATAGCGGCTGGGCTCAGCCTAGGTGGTGGGGGAGTGGGAGAAACCGCAGCTTGCCCTGTTCGCCAGTCCCTTCTCGTCTCGTTCCTCCCACCTCTCCTCGAACACACACAAATCTGGGGGGTGGTGGTGGAGGCACAGACCTGACCCAGGATGCGGGGTTTGGGGGTCAGCACTCTAGGCCAGAGGGCGACAGAGACCAGAGTTTTCTGCTGGGTGAGTTTTGACTTTTCCTTTAGGCACTCCGAAGCAATAGATATGTTTGAAGCAGTACAAGGTATCATTTTTCTCTTTTAAAATCTCACCCTGAGCCCTAGCTGGTTTGGCTCAGTGGATAGAGCATCGGCCTGCGGACTGAAGGGTCCCGGGTTCGATGCCAGTCAAGGGCACATGCCTGGGTTGCGGGCTTGACCCCCAGTAGGGGACGTGCAGGAGGCAGCCGATTGATGATTCTCATCATTCATGTTTCTATCTCTCCCTACTTTTCTGAAATCAATAAAAATATTTTTTTAAAAAACAACCTCACCCTGAAAGCCAGCATTGCAATGGGGATGACCAGGGCTCCGAGGCTACTGCAAAAGTAGCCTCCGGAATGAGGCCCAGAAATCAGGATTTAAAAAAGATTCCCAGGTGATTCTAATGTGCAGCCAAGGTTGAGAACCACTGGCCTAGAGCAGCGGTTCTCAACCTGTGGGTCGCGACCCCTTTGGCGGTCGAACGACCCTTTCACAGGGGTCGCCTAAGACCATCCTGCCTATCAGATATTTACATGATGATTCATAACAGTAGCAACATGACAGTGATGAAGTAGCAACGAAAATAATTTTATGGTTGGGTCACCACATGAGGAACTGTATTAAAGGGCCAGAAGGTTGAGAACCACTGGCCTAGAGGGACTAGAAGCAGCACACGCAGGCTGTGAGGATTAAGGGAAAGAGACAACGTCCACCTTTTAGCCCAGGTGAGCAGGCAGCTGTGGGCCTTTGCTGAGCTGGAGCGTGTGTTTAAGTGAATGGTCTCAGGCCAAAGTTTGGGACAGTCTTTATTGAGCTTGGAATGTAGTTCACCTTGGTGAGAGGCAGACTGTGGAAATGAGCAGCGACAGTGGCGGACGCCCAGGTCCGGGCCGTATCGGGGATCCTGCTCGCCTGCAAGCAGTTCTCAGGCACACGCACGCACACGCACGCACACCCTCACACACTCACTCACACCGGATGGCTGGGAGCAGGGCGCCCTGCCTGCTCAGCCTGCTCCTGCCCCTTGGAGAGGCCTCGTCTGGCTGGGGTGGGGGGAGTCCTGAAGGAAACCACTTGAGACCAGGGCGGGAGGAGCTGGGAGCGGCAGGTGTTTTGCAGTCTGGGAGAAGGGGATCCAGGAGGATGAGAGAGATGGCGAAGGACCGAGCAAGGGGAGCCCGCGGGGCCAGGGCACGGGAGATGCTGGCGAGGGGCTTGGGAGGGACGGGGTGGAAGAAGATGTCAGGTGTGTCCCCTCCTTCACTCACCCCAACCACACAGCTGGGGCCAGAGCCCTGGGCATAGAAAGCCTGGGGAGCACCCAGGGGTCCCCTGTGGCCTAGGAAGGCACTGAAACAGGGGAAAGATCCTGGAGAGCCTAGAGTCTCCCCCAAGCCCCCCAGCAGGGAAGAAAGGGGGTGACAGAGCAAGAAGCGTCTTACATGCCGGTTATGGGGGCAACGAGCCTGGGGAAGCACGAATCCTGTTCTCACCCAAACACGGGATGGGCGACGGGCAGCCCCTCTGGCCGGCAGAGGGGAGCGGGCCAGAGCCGGGGGAGTGGGGGTGTGGGCGGGGAGCCTGGCCTCGCCCGTGTGTCCGTGGTGGGAATGGAGGCGGGAGGGAGGAGGATGAGCCTCCCGCCCCCAGGGCCGGGGCTACCAGAGCACAGCCCCGTCGAGGTTCCCGTAGCCCGGCTCGGCCCGCAGCCGCCAGTACGTGTTGTTCGTCACCCACCACTCCTTTCCGCTGCCATCTGTCTGCCGCCTGGGGGAAGAGAGCCAGGGAACGGGAAGAGTGAGCGTCCAGGATGAAGGCTGGCTGGAGACGCTGCCTCTCAAAGCGGGAAGGGGCCAGAGGGGCGGACAGGGGAGCCTTGACCGCAGGGCGAGGGCCCAGGACCTGAAGAAGCGAGCCTGGTGGACGATATTGTTCTCCTCCATCACCCTGCGTCTGTCTCGCTGAAGCTGCTCGATCCTTCTCTTCTGGGCCTCGGCGGCCTGGATGTTCCCCTCCTCCAGGTACCTGAGCGTCCAGACCGCCGTCAGTGGAACGGTCCCTCCGGGCCCCCAAACCCGAGGCCCTGAGGCAGCGGAGGGAAGGGACGCAGCCCCAGCTCTCCTCGGAGACCCACGTGGGGCAGCGAGGAGCCTGCCTGGCACTGACCTCTGGTCGGGCCGGAGCCGAGTGTCGGTGGAAGGCAGTGACCGTTTCAGCTCTGCCGTCAGCTCATTCAGCTCCAAGGCAAACTGGGTGAAGCCGAAGTTTCGCTCATGGTCTGGGGGCATGGAGTCTGGGGGGAAGGCAGGGGCTGGGGCAGGTGGACTTCCATAGCTGCCCTCACCCTGCCCAGTCCTCCCCCATCGCCCCACTTACTGGGTTTCCAGATGCACTGACCACCAGGCAGGGGTCCCCGGTACAGCCCCTCGTTCCACTTCCCGAAGAGCCGGTGGAGGACGCGGCCGCTCCGGCTGAACACGGCGCCCTGCACCTCGTGGATGTTGGAGCTCCAGTACTTGGCCTGGGTGGGGTGGGGTGAGGGCAGGTGGCTTAGGGAGGTGTTCCCTCCGCTTCCCCCAGCGTGAGCCGCGGGGGGCGGGGGGCGGCCCGGAGGGGCAGGGGCACGTGCCCACCTTGCAGAAGGTGATCTTGCAGTGACAGGAGCTGTCCTTCGTGTTCCGGATGAGGACCTCCCCATAGTGCTCGATCCAGCGCTGGCCACTCAGGATGTTGTGAATGCAGGACGTCACCTTGTTCCACTCAAAGTGGTCCCCAAACCTGAGGGAGACGGAGCACGGGAGGGCAGCGGGCCGGCCCCAAGCCGGCGCCCCGGCTCTTTGCGGGCAGGTCACATGGGTCTGTGCAAGAAACCCTGGGGTCCTGGCTCTGACTCTGCCGTGAAGGGTGACTTACTTACAAAGCAGAGCGGCCTTCCCAGAAAATATTCAACTAACACATCTCCACTCATTAAGCTCCTGTGCCTAAGTCAAGCATGTCAAAGTCGTGGTTGGTGGGCCGCAAAACAAGGCATGCGCCCTCCCTCCCCCCCCCAGCCGTGAGTTTGACATGCTTGGTCATAGAGATTTAAAAAAAAGACACGGGCTGTGCCCTTGATGCCAGGGACGGTGGTGGCTCTGTTCTATTACCCTGTTTACCCCCCACTTCTATCAGTTATTCATTACTCTTACTTTATTTAAATATATGTTATTTCAGAGAGGAAGGGAGAGGGAGAGATAGAAACAGACCAAGCCCGCAACCAGGACATGTGCCCGACCGGGAATCAGACCGTGACTTCCTGCCAGGCTACTCTTACTTTATAGAAGAGGGAGCTCGAGGCTCAGAGGCGTCACATCCTGTTTGCCACTTGCATAACGATTAAGTGAGAACCAGGACTCTCAGCCAGGACTTCTGACCCCGAAGCCCAGGCTCTCCCTCCCACTCTGACACTGGCCTCTGGCTGACTCCTGGCTGCGGGCCCCACCTGTAAAATGAGCTGGATGAGGATGTTTCAAATGTGGTTTGTGACCAGTTCTGAGCTCATTTAGGTGTGTGTGTGTGTGTGTGTGTGTGTTCTGCATTTCTTACTGTGAGTCATGGTAAAAAAAGTGTGAAAGCCACTGCATCAGATGACGGCGATGAGCCCTCCCAGCTCTCCCAAGCTCAACTGCCTCCCCTTTCTCTGTTGGAAACTGCTGCAAATACAGGGGCAAAACGCACAGTCACCGGCCCACCCCAGGCAGCTTCAGGCCAGACCTTTCCATCCAGCGGGCGGAGGATGGCCTGTGGCTGGGCCTGTGGCTGGGCCTGGCTGCCCAGCGCTGGGAACACTCACCTGGGCAGACTCACGTTCACTGTCCCCACAGGCACAATCTCCAGGGATTTCCCCCAGAACTTGTTCTTCCATTTCATGTCTGGAGTTGGGTTGGGAAGGGAGAGGGACAGCAATGAGAAGACCAGTGTCCCAGCCCCTCCCCCATCTGCCCTGCACCCTCCCCCCCAGGTCCATCCTCCCATGCCCCCTCCTCACCTTGCCAGAAAACGAAGTTCTCAGACTCTGCATGGCACGCCGAGATGGGGGGGTGGTGGGAGACCTTGGGGAGCAAGGAGTTCTCTTGAGGCTGCCCTTGAGGCCCCCAAAAGTCCCTTGCCCCCCACCTCCCAATCCCCTGTGAACCAGAAGATCAGTCAGTTCCAGGTCTCTTTCCCTGTGATCCTTGGCCACCACCCAAATTCCATTATTTTTTCTTCATCCACGAGGCCCCTACGTTCTCCCTTCTCCTTCGCTCCCCGCTGGAGTCCTCTCACCACCCTGTCTATGGTGCCCTCCAGAACCCCTGCTGAGGCCTATAAAGTTCTTCCGCAGGGACAGGTGGGGACCCCACGGTGCCCTGCTGACAGCCAACCCTCCCAGGAGGACCCCCCCTCCCCTTATCCCCAACGCTGATGTCATCCTGCAGCCTCCACACTACCTGGAGAACCCTGACCTGTGCCCACACCTGGACCCTTGGACTCCGGTATCCCCAGCCTGCTGTCCTGCCTCTCTGCCCATCCCTGTCACCTGGAGCTCCTGCCAAGACTCCCGGCCGCTCTGCTCTGTCGTGGCCTGTCAGCCAGGGCTTCCCCTCCTTCCCACGCAGCTGCGACTCCCCCACCACTCCCAGGCCGCTCACCTGACCACCTGCGGCCACTCGCCACAATCCCAGCACCTGCAGACCCCTCGGTGCAGCCCGGCTCCCTGCTCTCCAGACCCCCACCCCTGTGTGTCACACAGCAATGCTGAGCAACCTCAAATCCTACAGCGCGTCTGCACCGGGGGCCTCAGCATCACCCCGTCCTCTGAGGGCCTCCACCCAAGCCTCCCCTTCAAGCCACATTCACCCCATAATCAGAGGGAGAACACAGCAGGCGACTCCTTCCACCAATTTACGGGCTCCCACCCCGACCCTCTGCCAGGCCAGGGCCCCTCTCCTCACGCTGCCCCCCACTCCGCCCATCGCCCCTCCCTCTGCACGGCAGTCTTTCCCTCTGTATCTCTCTTTTTCTCCAAATAGAAATATGTCCTATTTCTCCCACCTGAGGCAAGAGTAACCCTGGCCTCTCTAGTCAGGCGCATCTTGGCCCGCGCCGGCGGAAAGCGAGCGCAGGCCGCAGCTCCCCGCGGAGGGCCGAGGCGGGGGTCACTTTCCGCCGTACGCACGGTTGGGCTGTGGGAGCTCGTCACCATGTTTTCAAAAACACTTAAAATCTAAACAAACACACAAAATTGCCTCAACCCGTTATCTCCCGCTCTGGCTGCCACCGTCTTTCCTTCCTCTTTTCCCTCACGGTAAAATGTTTCTGAAATAAGCCTGCACTTCTCTCTCCCTTTTACTTCCACTTCACACTCACTGTAACCCAGCCGCACCCCCAACCTGTGTCTGAGATCTCCCTCACCAGGAAGCTAATGACACCCCCTAAGTCCCGTGGCCACCCCCTGCACCTCAGGGCTCCTCCCCCCTTCCCCCAACACTCCTCCCAGACCCTTTCTGGTAGCAGTCGGGGACTTCGCCTGCCATCTAAGGGGTGACTTTTCTGAGGACCTCCAAGCCCAGATGCCCCAGGGCCTACGGGACGTCTCCCCTTGGAAGTCAAGCCCCGTGGACAGGAGTCTCCCTAATTCAGTTACCTCACTCCCATTCGCTCCATCTCGCTAACTGGCAACGCCACAACGCCACACACACACACACCAAATGCCCCAATCCGAATTCCAGCCCAGACCCCCTCAGACTTCTCCCTCTCATCAGCCGCCTTCCCTGTTCCCCATTCGTAAGAACATCCTGTTGACCGCTGAGTCCTGTCAAGGGCAAGACATAAATAGCTCTTAACCCCCCCACCCCGGCCACCCAATCCAGCTGCCGCGGCCTAAGTGCAGGTCCTCATCAGCTCCAGGGAAAGGGCCGAAATGCCCTCCTAATGGCTGCTCTGACCGTACGCCTCTGCCTGGATGCTCTTGACAAAGTGTAATTCTGAGCACGTCATTCTACCACTTAAAACCCTCCCCATAGCCTTCAGGACTTAGACACAGCCAAGCCCTCCTAACCTTCACCACCCACAGGGCTCCTTGGGTCTGGCCCGCCTTGTCTCCCAGCCCCGTCCCTAACGCCTCCTAAACGTGCTCCATCCGTTTCTCTACTGTCTGGCAAATCCCGTCCTACCCACTCCCATGTACTCCTGGTGAACTCCAGTTCATCCTTCCAGACGTAGCTCAAGATCACCCCCTAGAGTCAGGGTGGGGAACCTTTTTTCTGCCAAAGGCCGTTTGGATATTTCTAACATCACTCGCTTAATATAATTCACTTAATATAAATTATGTTGCTATGAAAAAAGCTCCTAGATTTATTGAATTTCAAGTCCCACCTGTGGTTGCCTTGGCAGGGCCAGACCAAATGATTTTGCGGGCCTTTTACCTCCCGCGGGCCGGACGTTCCCCACCCCTGCCCTAGAGCCTGCCTTCCCAGGCAGGGGTGCCGAGTAACCTCCTGTGAGCTCCCACGATCCCCGCTCTAGAGTGTGGCACAGTAGCCCCTTGTTTCAGTCCGTCTCCCACACTCAGTGGGGGCTCCTTCGGGTAGAGCCCTCTGTACCGCCATCACGTGGCCCAGTGGCTGGCACCGAGCCCACTGCCCCTGCCCTCTCCCAGGCCCTGGCCCCTCTGAAGCTCAGGTGCTTCCCTGCCCCGACCCCCGTGAGGACAGCCCCCTTCTCCCGGGGCGCACACCTGCTCACTGATGAAGCGGAAGCCTCGGTCAGGCCGCTCACACTCGTAGGTCTCCCCCAGGACGGGGTTGAAGGGCTTGCAGCCTGCTCGGTGGTACGTGGAGGAGTAGGCAGAGACGGCAAAGGCGGCGATGTACACCTGCAGGGGGAAGGGCGGGGAGAACGCCACTGGGTGGTGGGATCGGAGCAAGGGCTGGGTCCTGGGGTGGAGCTTCGGCAGCAAGAGGACAGCGCAGCCAGGGTTTCTGGGAGGCAGGGGCCCGCGGGGTGGGGAAGAGGCAGCCTGGCGGGGCCAGGGGCCGGTGGGGGCCGGTACCATGCGCTCGCAGGGGTCGGCGATGCGGCTGGCCTGGTCCAGGAGGCTGCTGTACTCGAGCTCCTCGCAGAGCCGCTGCAGAGTGTTGAGCGGCTCATTGAGCTGCACGGGCATCGACACCTTGGACAGGTCCTTGCCGATGTTGTTACGCAGAATGTTCCACAGGCTCACGTCAACCCCGGGCCCACTGGCCGCCGGCAGGCAGCGGCGACGGGGTGGCCCCAGAGCTCTCCCTGGAACACACACCCCTGGGGCCCATCCCAGCCATGTCACTCTGGCACCCAGACAGGGCAGGCCCACAGCCCGGCCCCCAGCCCACTGCCTCCCACCCCAAGTCCCAGCCTGGACTCACTAGAGGGGCAGGGCGGCTGGGAATCTAATTCTTTTTTTAAAATTTTTTAATGTATTTTTATTGATTTCAGAGAGGAAGGGAGAGGATAATAGAAACATCAATGATGAGAATCATCAATCAGCCGCCACCCGCACGCTCCCCCACCAGGGATCGAGCCCACAATCCAGGCATGCGCCCCCGACCAGAACCAAACCTGGGACCCCTCTGTCCGCAGGTCGACGCAGGATCTAATTCTTGACATGCTCTGGGGGGACCCTGTACCCCAGAAACCCTTTCTGAGTCCCCACCCCTGCCTTCTGTTCCTTTCATAAACATAGAAACTGATGTCAGGATGTAGACTATTCAGCCCCTTTTACAGATGAGGACACAGGCTCCAGCAAGTCCAAAGCCTCACTGCTGAGAAGCGGCAACGTGGGGTCTTCTCCGTCTCTACAGGCCCCACCTGACCCTTTTCAGAAAACTAGAATGGAGACTCGCCCAGACCAGAGCCTGTCCCACCTCTGGAGCCACTCCTGGAACATTCCAGAGCTTACGGCTTAGCCTTCCTCGCCTCCTGGGTCACCTCTGGAGTCAGCACCCAAAGACACCAGTCACCACAAGGGACTGCCTCCCCAAGGGGCCTGGGCTGTGGCCACCTCCGCCCCTCCCTGCCCAGACACCTGGCAGGCACCTTTCTGATAGCGCTCAGCTCCCCTGAGGTCCAGCACCTCCTCGGACAGGCTGGTGGTGATCTCACTGACGCTCGATTCCTCCTCCTCTGAGCCCTGGGCCGGGACAGATGACAGGCCGGGCAGACTGGGCCTCCCCCGGGCAGCTGGGCAGTGCCCAGGGCCTGGCAAGACTCTGCCCAGCTAGCCCTTTGGTGGGAAGGGGAAGAGAATATATTTGGGGAGGTCTGAGCCCTAAGACACTGCCCGAAGGCCTGGCATACCTGAGGGAGGGCCTGGCCATATGAGCAGGCGGGAGGTTGGGGGTTGGGGGGGGCGGGGAGAAACTCAGGGACTTGGCAAGACACAAAGGGAATGGAAACTGGGATCACTAAGATTCGAGGGTGTAGGGTGGGGGGTCAAGGGAGCCCCGGGTCTGAAATAGGATCACAAGAAGATGGCTGGGGTGGAGCTGAGGCAGCAATTTCAGGGGAACCCAATGGGGATAAAGTGCGTCAAACTGGACAAAGGTCCCAGCAGAGATCTGTGATCAGGGCCACTCAAACCCAGCAGGGCTGTCCGTGTTCTCAGAATAGCAGAAAGGACTGGGACTCCGTAGGCTCTAGTGTCTCTGCATCCCACCCCTATACCCGCGGCCCCCAGCTCTGCCTGCCAGCTTCCCGCCTCCCTCACCTCATTCTCAGAAGAGCTGGCAGAGAGAAGCACCTCGCAGGCATCGAAGAACTCCGTGTGGGAATCCGCGAGGGACAGGACGCTGCTCTGGGACAGCTGGGGCGTCAGCTCTCGCCCCTTCATGTACAGAGCTTCTTGCTGTGGGAGCGGGACGGAGGTCAGCCAGGCCGGGAGAGGCAGGCAGGGCCCCCCAGCCTGCCAGCTCCCCTCGGAGGGAAGCATAACCGGGACTGAGCAGGAGAAGACGGGGCGAGCGTAGTGGAGTGAACCCCAGCCTGGGGGTAAGGAGACACGGGTCCCAGAATAACCGTTCACACTTCCTGGGCACCGGCTCTGAGCCCGGCTCCAGGCCTTTGTGTGTATGAACTCCATCAGTCCTGACACGCACCCTCTGAGGTTAAGTGTCCTTATTGCCCCCACTTTGCAGACTATAACACTGAGGCTCGGGGTCACAAAGTTGGCAGGCGGAGGAGCCAAATTCAAACCCAAGGAGACCCCGGAGTCTTTGCTCGGAACGCCTAACTCCCAGCTCACTGGTCCACAAGGGGGAGAGCGTGGGCCCCTCAGTGGGACTCTTGGAGCCTCCGTTTCTTCACCTATGCCTTGAGGGAAGGAATCACCGCCTCACAGGCCTCTGAGTTAAATGAAAGCATTCTGCGCACTGTTAAGTAATGGCCAAGAGGCGGCTGCTGCCAATGTTTTACGTGAAAGGGCGGGAGCTAGGATTTCTGGGCCGTGGCAGGTCTGAAATCCACCCGTGCCTTCATCCTGCTAGAACAGAGGGCCCAGGAGAAACGGTCCCCATCGGCCACCCGGCTCCTACCTCCTCGGGGTTGAGGGAGCTAAAGGAGTCCGCCGTGGTGTCCGAGGAGATGGACAGTGAATGGAGGCGCCTCGGGCCAGCAGAGGCCTCAGAGATCTGCAGGGAGAGGGTGAGGAGACAGGGTCCCAGGAGGATGCGGCCTCTGCCTCGTGCCCTCCAGGCCCAGATCTGTGACCACCCCAGGCCTGCAGACCTCAGGCTCGAGCCCCCTCCCCCCACCGGCCACCCTGTCCCCAAGCCTCACCCCCATTCTGGACAGCTCGGAGCCCTGGTGCAGATCCCTCAGGTGGTCCCGTTCAGCGGTGAGGGCGGCCAGGACACTGCTGAGGGAGCTGTGCACTGAGGGCAGGGGCAGGCCGTCAGAGCCTCCTCCTCGCCCCCTGCTCCCACCACCCTCCAGCGCACACTCACCCTTTTGGGCCAGGGCCCAGAAACTGCGCTGCAGGTGGGCATAGTCTGGGGGTGGCAGCCCCCGGGGTCCTGAGTGGTCCCGGGACTCCAGGTACCGAGATAGGTTGGGAACAGAGCCATGGAGACGACCCACCTGTGGGGGAAGGAGAGGGGTTGAGGGGGGCGGCGTCCTTCGGGCGTCCCACCCGGGGAACTGGGGTCTACACCCCCCTCACCCGCCCGATGGTGTCGTCCTTGGCGAAGCTCTGTGTGCACCACATGCGGCTGGTCCGTTTGCCCTTCTTGGGTCTCTCCGTCGTCACCGAGGCCTAGCAAGTCAACGTGAGGGAGGTTTCCCTCTCAGGGTGGGGAGGGGGGCAGCAGCCATCAGAGCCGGGAGAGAGGCAGGGGGCCATGGAGGAGGGCACAGGGAAAGCGACCTCCCAGAGAAAGGAGCCCGACCCCCTGGCAGACAGGAGGAAGGGTCGCTCCAAAGGGACAGAGCGACAGCCCCGAGGCAGCTGGTCATAGGAAGAGAGTAAGGGGGCCGGTGCCTGCCTCTCTGAAAACAGCAGTGACCTAAGGGGGCTGGGGACCTGTCCCGGGAAGTGATGGGATGGACGCAGCAAGCAGGCGAGAGCCTCCCCACCCCCCGCCCAGCAGGAGCCTGCACCCTCTTTCCCCTGGACCTCACCTGGTGCGTGGGGATCACAGGGGCCGAGGGGATGCGGTGCAGGGACTCCAGGCTCTGGAGGAGTCGGTGTAGTTCCTGCAGCTTCCCCTGACACTCCGAGAGCTCTGCGGGAAGAATGAATGAGGAAGTCCTCCCGACACTGGCCAGGTACCCCAGAGTCTGTCCCCCAGCTTTCCTTCCTCTTCCTCCGGCAGCCAGGGAAATCCTGAGAGTCTTCCTCCCCCTGACCCGGAATCGTGAGCCCACAGAAGCTCCCAGTTCCCACCCTTGGTCTGGCCCCACCCTGGATTCCCCGGGAAAGCGGCACCCAATCCCCACAGTCGCCACATCACACCCTCCCTCTGCTGCCTCACGCTCTCTCCGGCCTCATTGGTTTGCACTCCCCTCTCCCGGGCCAACCTCACAGCCCCCCTCCAGGCACCCGATTCTAGAGCCTCACTCCCTGCACTCCTCCTCCCTGCACTGGCGCCTGCATCTTCTCTCGCATGAGGCCTGGCCCTGTGTCCCGCCTGCCCATGAGCCAGGAGCCCCACCACCCTCTGTAGGACTGGGACTCCCCGGACAGGGCCTGAGGAGACCGTCAGCTTGGAGGCACAGGCTGTCTCCCCCATCAGACTGGGCTCCCTGAGGCACAAGGATAACGTTTTAACATTTCTCCTTCTTGTGGCTGCTGATGCCATGTAAACATGACAGTGTGGGCCCCTCACCGTGAGAGCAGCGGTCTAGGCCATCACTGCCCCTCAACCAGGAGGACACCTTCTCCCGAGGTCCAACCCCAGGCAGAGCTGAGGCACTAATCACTGTGGGAAGCTGGGCACCAGGAACCTGTGGGGTGAGTCAAGGGTCAGGAAGGATGGTGCCCACCGCCCTGGGTCTCACTGTTCCCTGAAGCCGCCACCTCTGAATCCCCGCGGCTCCTGCCCCAGGGCCCACCTTACCTTCCGGTGAGAGTTGCTGGGCAGCGGGCCGCGGGGCATGTCCATGCGCTGGGCCAGGCGATGGGCACGCAGCTGGGCTACCCAGCTCTGGAACAGGTCCTGGGATTTGATCTGCAGACGTGATGGGAGGGGGAGGGACACATGAAAGGAGGAGTGCTTTCCAGGGCAGGAAGTTGGGGCTCTGGTCCCCAGGCAAGCAGGCTCTCTCGCTTTATGTCCAGCTTCTGCAAAGGCCCCCGGCAGGAGATGGAACCCAGCTTCCCCAGTGTCCGAGCTCTGAGTTCTGTTTGTTCATCTAACAACCAGCAGGGGCGGTTTGCCATTGGCTATTGGACACGATGGGAGCTCCCTTCTTATCAAACTCAGGGACGGACCCTCAGCCCCTGTCCCCCTCTCCTGGGGGCCCCAGTGCCTCTGCCAGGCTGGGGACCAAGCCACCGACGGGCTCCCAGGCATGTCACCTTGAGGTGGTAGATGTTGTCTTCGGTGTCAAGGTCAATGCGCTGGGCCTTTTTGTTGATGGACATAACAGACAGTCGGACATCGATGGAGCCATGCAGCTTCCCCTTGGTGATCTGGGGGAGGGGGGGATTGTGGGGGGAAGGGGATGTTTTTAGACCCCTGGGCCACAGAGCCATCATGTCCCTGAGGCCACTTGAGACCAAGCAGCAGGTTCACCCTCATAACCAAGTCACAGTACCAGCAGGGACCTCTCTGTCGTTCTTCTGTGCACAGAACTCACAAGTCACATTCTGAGCTCCAGGGAGTCACAGGGCAGGGAAAACTACCCGCCCCCTCTCGGGGGTCCGCAAGACTGAGGAATAGAGGGCCCAGGCTGCTTGGCCTTCAGCTCCTTCTTCCCAGCACCAGGACAGGACAAGGAGGAGGAGGATCAAGCTCCCCTTCTTGGGTACTTTTGTGCCAGGCCCTGTCCCGAGGGCCCTCACCACGATGACAATGACCTTACACATGGGTGATCGCACTCTCCCCGTCTTAGAGAGGAGGGAGCTAAGGCCCAGGGAAGACACCTGCTCAAGACCCCACACCCAGGAATAGGGGGGCCTGGGACTCGGGCCCTGCTCTGGGGGGTTTCAGAAGCCCCCTGCCTGCCCAGGGCATTTTGGGACCCGATTCCTCCATCACCCCCAGCCAGGCCCTGACTCACGTCTTGCCGAGTGGTCGCATAGCGAAGGATCCCGTCCTCGAGCACGAAGTATCTCTGTGACGTCACCCAGGGGGAACAGGACCCAGGTGACCAAGAGGAAGGGTGTGGGGAGAGAGCAACTGCACACATGGATCTTTCTTCCCCTTCTTCACACACACACACACACACACACACACACACACACACACACGCACGCACACGCACGCACGCACGCATGCACACAGCATACCCAGCCGCCTCCAGCATCCCCCATGCTGCCCTGACTTTGGCCCTGCCCTTGCCCTGGAACCTACCTTGTGCCAGCCCTTCAGAGGCCACTTCCTCTTCTTGAGCAGGTGGCCCTCCTGCCTGTCGGGCATGACACCCTCTGCGCCTCGCCGGCCCCGAGGCTCCTCCACCACCTCCCACAGCTCAGAGGCCTGCAGTCCAGGACAGAGTCGGGGTGGGGGAAGGGGTGCTGGTGAGGGCCCTCTGGGCCAAATAAAGCCCACCCCCTGCCTGCCTCCCGTCCTCAGACCTGCTGGGCGCTGCTGGACTTTGCGGACTGAGTGCTCTCGGACAGCGAGGGGGGACCCCGCTCTTGGAAGTCCATGGAGAAGGAGCGGCCACTCCCTGCTGAGGACTCAGAGCCGGGGGGAAGGGGAAGGATGTCGCCTTGTCCTGAGGGGGCCCTTGAAGCAAGAGAGAGAGAGAGAGACTCATTAGCTGCGTGCCTGCTAGCGCCTGCTCCACCGCCAACCTGTCCTGCACCCACTAGGACCACACTTCACCAGCACCTCTTCTGCTCCCGTCCCACCTCTCCTGGTCGGTCCCCCCCCCACCGCGGGTGGGTCTCCCTGCCTCCACCTTCCCGCAGCCACTGAGATAGTGCAGGGAGGCAGGCAGTGCCCAGAGAAAACCAGGAACAGTCCACCCAGCCCCACCCTGAGCACACATTCCTGGGCTCCAGGAAACACTGGGCGCTTTCTCTGAAGGCTTCCTTGGGAGGATAGGAGTGAGTGGAGGAAGAGGATCCGAAAAAGGCCAGAGGAGTTCAGAGCCTAGACAAGCAAGATCTCAGCCAGCTCCTCCTCCTTCAGGACCCCGCACCGCCACCACCATGGCCGGGAGACTCCTCTACCATGACCTCCTCCCCCAACCCCTTCACCCCAGTTCCCCACTAACTGGTCCCCATATCCTCTAGTTCTTGGGCTCCCATTTTCTGCATGGGGAAACTGAGGCCCGAGACAGCCCAATTGTTCCCTGTGCCTCCTCCCCTCCAACAGCCCCCTTGGATGCCCACCTCAGAAGCTCAGTGTCCCCCAAAGCCTCTCCATCCCCTATCACCCCAGTCCTTGGGGGTCCTGACAAGTACCACCCACCCAGAGAGCAGGGGACCGAGCGGATGGAGATGAGGAGGAAGTGGGGGGCGGAGAAGAGCTGGCCAAGAGCATGTCAAGGCCCGCACAGGTCCCCGCAGCGGTGCCCACTGGCGCCCTTGGCACCAGCTCAGGCCACCCTGGCTGCACCGGGAGATCAATAATGCATGAGGCTCTGTGTGTGAGACGGGGGAGGGGACTGGAGGGGCAAGGTTGGCCCGAGGCTGGGGAAACAGCTCAGATCTTCTGTGAGCCTGTAAGCACCTGAGGAGTTGAGGCAACAGGGAACGGGGACAGGTAGGGCAAGGGTGGCCGGGGCAGGGGTGACTGGGGCAGGGGTGACCGGGAGGTGGGGGCAGAGGGGCGCATGCTGCCAGAGGCTGACCTGGGGAGAAATTCCCGCATTCAGCCATTGAAAGTTCCCAAACTCTCCCAGTGTTTGGGTGTCCCTGTGCCCTTTCCCTGGCCCCGTGGGATCCTGGCCCCGCACTGCTGGCGGCCGGAGGGGGAGGCTCTGTCATTAGAGGGTGTGGGGTCGAGGTGAGTCAGGTGAGTGTGCCCCGTCTCCACCTCCGTTCCAGTCCCCTTCTCCGAAGGGGCAGACCGGCCAGCTGCAGGTGGGAGGCAGGTCAGCTGACTCGGCCCCTTACCGCAGGGTCCATGGGCGCCAGTGCTCCTTGGCCCGCACGCAGCTCTGCCTCTGAGTCACCGTCTCCAAGTCGCCCGCTCCCTCCTCATGGAGCCAAGTGGCACCGGCTGCTGCAGGAACCAGGAAGGAAGGAGACAGAGGAGCCTCCCCTCTCGCCGGATCTCCCCACCTTCCCCTCCCCCGCTCTTCCTCCCGCCAAGCTCTGGGCAGCTGCTCAGCTCTGCCCCCCTGCTCCCGGGAGGACTCAGGGCTGAGTGACTCCCCAGAGCTGAGGAGGCCTGGGCGCAGGGGCAGGGACCCCACTGGGCACAGCTCCAAGGGATTACAGAGGACTGGGGAGCTGCTGGCCTAACGCCAGTGGTGGGAAAGGGTTTACTCAGACGCACGTTGGCCTTGACCCGTTAGTACCCACGTCCATTTTTTTAATTATTATTATTAACTCCTGCCTCTCGTTTTACATCTGAAAATAGATTGCAAAGTTTGGAGCCAGCAAAGGTATCGGGTTGATGGGGAGGGAGGGATGCCCCTTTTGGACAGTGCCAAGAGCACAGTCAGCAGGGCAGTCAAGGCTCAAAGGAGCCAGCGGATGGCCCCCCAGAGGCTGCCACTGGCGCCATGGGGTGGGGGACTCCGAGCACCTCTGCAGCGAGACAAAGCCCGCAGCCTGCTGTCCCTGCACCAGGAGCAGGGCAGGGGCGGGGACCAGCTGGCCGTTAAGGTCTGGCTGGAGCCCACTTGAGTCCCCTCCCTTCTGAGCACCCCTGCCCTGCTGGAGTGCTCAAATCTAATTAAAAATCAGCTCTTGAGAAAGGTCTCAACTCCACTGAAATGAATGTGAAACTGACTGACAGCTCTAAGTGCAGCAAAGCCTCTTTCTGGAAAGTGGGTTTTTATTGGTGGGGCCCCGGGCTCCGCCAGCAGGTCAAGGATGCAATGTGGGGAGAAATGCTTTAGGCCACTTCCCCCGCCCACCTGGTGCCCACAGGGCCTTGGCTGACCCCTCATGGTGTTACACCTCTCAGAAGCCTGCTCCCCACGCCATTCAGAACCTCAGCACAGCTCCCCGCCCCAGGAGGGCGCCGTTGCACCTGTGGTTCTGGGAGTCGGGGCAGCACTGTGCAGACCAGCTCTGGCACCCGTGAGCCTCAAGGGCCTTTTAACGCATTTCACACTGATTGAGCATCCTGGGTGTCCGGGCAGAGCTGGGCTCAGGGCAGTTGGTCCCAGACCAGGCCACAGAGAGGCTGCGGCAGAGCGCCGCTGCCAGCGTGGTGCCCGCCCAGGCCCCGGGGAGCCGGGCGCAGCTCCAAGTCCAGGAGGAATGCTCAACGGCCACTCTCCCCGCGCACCCTGCGTCCACCCAGCGCATGCGCCAAGGGCAAGGGCCGGCTTCTCTCCTTCATTAGGCACTTTTGTTCCCCAGGACTTGGATGACACCTTCTACTTAAGAGCCCCCAAATCCCCTCATCTTTGCAGAATGCTGGCTGCCCCCCAGCTCCTTTGCTCAGAACCACCTGAGACATGGTAGCTGCTGGGCAGAGCTGGTGGCTGCCTCCCAAGGACAAGCCTGTGGGGATGCCTCTTGTGGGTGTGGGGACAGGGAAGTGACAGGCGTGGACACAGGAGAGGAAGGGTTTTCTAGGAAGGGAAGTGAGAGTCAGAGATGAGCCTGAGGATAAGTGGACAGGAAGGTAAGTTTGTAAACAGCAAAACAGACTAAGTAAAATACATTTATTTTTGTCATAAAGCAGTGTTCCCAGCCTTTCCACAACACGGCACACCCGCGGATGGAGAATTCACATCCAAGCCCACCCGGGACCTCACTGAGGAAGCTCTAGAATCCAGAGCACGTCTCAGAGCAGAGAGCCTGGTTCAAGTCCTGTTCTGCCACTTAGCAGCCGCATGACCTTGGGCAGGCGCTGTAACTTCTCTGCCCCAGAATACAAGAACTAACACCTAGGAAGGGTTAGCATGCAGCCTGGCAGCAGGCTCTCCACAGAACCCATTCTTAGAACAATTACTCAGCTGAGCTACTCTGACAGCGAGGGTCAGGCTGGGGAGGCTTGTCCAAGGGACAGTGAACAGGAGGCAGAGGGCAGTATTCTCATCTGCTCAGCCGCTCTGCCTTGAACCTGGAGCTGACACTCTGCTCTTGTCAGGTCACAGGTTGGAGAAACGAAGGGCAAAGACGGAGACTAAAAGCCTACGTTCCGAAATGAAATCCTTCATCGGAGGAGGTCGTCGTCGGTAGAAGCCAGGGAACACACGCCATCCCACCCCGAGTTCACCCACATTCCCAAGGACAGCACGGCCAGTGCGCAGGTGTGTTTACGGGCGGGCGGCTATGAGTCCGGAACAGAGTCGGGGGGACCGGGCTGCCCAGTGGCTGGCTTCACAGAGTCCCCCTCGTGCTGCTGTCTGACGTACTGATCCAACAAAGCCGTCAGGTGGAGGGGCTGGTGCTGAAGCAGGGCGTGGGTCTGGGCCATGAGGAGGGTGAGCCCTCCTACCAGCTCCCCCTGCACCAGGGCCAGGCTGGGAAGCTTGGAGTAGTTGATGAAGCCCTGCCTGCTGAGGATGGTGTCATCAATGCAGCCACCTGGAAAAACACAGGGTCAGGGGGCTCCTCACAATGCCTTTCCTCTCTGAAACATGCCAACCCTAGGAATTGCTCTCCATTTCCCTTCTCCACCTCCCACCTGGCTCCCACTTGTGCCCCACCCCACTCACACTGTGTTTGGGACGGATCCCCTCGCCTCCTTCCTAACTCTTCTCTAGAAAATCCTTACATAAATCATCCACCTGGCCCGACCCCCACTAAGTCACTGTTCCCTAAACTTTCTTGAAGAACCATGGAGTATGTGTGTGTGTGTTGGGGGGGGGGAGGTTTATAAACTGATTCCTGCCCCTTCCCACAGAGACCTATGAAATCAGTATCCTATATAGAAACAGTACCTCTAGGGATTCTTAGTACCAGGGGAGTCTGGGAAACGTTGCTGCCTGTTCCTCAGCACCCTATACTTGGGCTATTTGTTTTAATTACCTTTGTGGGTTTTAGCACCTAGTAAAGACTCAAGGCGTCTGAACTTCCTCCCCCAGTAGAGTCCTCTCTGCCTTTCCTAACCTTCCCCCATGCATAGCGATGCAGGCAGTGAGCCAACACAGGTGTTAGAAGACACAGGCAGCCCTCCACAAACGGTGCTGCTGAGGCCCCATCTGTGAGAGGATGTCTTCTCCAAAGATGTCCACGGTCTCACACACTCAGGCCTAGCAGCTGGCACTAGGCGGCTGCAGCACCCGCTCCCTTCACCCCACCCCCACAGGCAGGGGAGCCTGCTCACCTAACAGTGGCAGGAAGGGCACACCCTTCAAGATTCGCACCATCTCCTTGACTTTGGGCTCTTTGCTGACCAGCAGCAGGTTGTGCCCCACAAAAAGGGGCAGCAGGTTTCGGTACTTGGAATCCTCCAGGAAGGGCTTCAGGATCTGGAACAGCAGGAAAGAAGGGTTCATTGGGGACGAGCGGGAGGAAGAGCTGCCCAGCTTGGTCACAGGCCACATCAGTTAAGGGTGAACCAGAGGGTCTCCTCAGCCCCTAATCGCAGTGTAGGCCCCAGAAGAGAGAGCTGCTAGTGGAGGGGAGGAGTCGGAAGTGCCCTCTGGGGAGAGATGCTGGGTCTGTGTGGGCAGGGGAAGGGGAGCACGGGCAGGGTCCATGGGTAGGCAGCTCCCTACCTGGTTAGGGAAGGCCTTAACCAAGATATCGTGTTTCCGCAGCCGGTGTTGCATAAACAGCTTGTCCTCCGCACCCATAGGCACATTCTGGCAGATGGCTATCATCCGGTTGTTTTGGAAAACTGCTGCTACCTCCCGACGGAGGAGCCGGACGAGACCTGTCTCCTAAAATCAGGAAGGGACAGCCAAGGGGACATAAGCTGCTTCTTCTCTGTCCCCCTCGGCTCCCGCAGGGATGGGTGCTGGGCTTCCCACGAGGCCCAAATGCGGGGAAAGATCAGGTACAGGCAGGATAGTTGGGCCCCTGACTCCCAGAGACATGCTCCACCTCCCATTCTATCCTTTCATTTTCATCAGAGGATTGGTCAATAGAGCAGTGTTTTTCCAACCTGAGAACTGATTCCCCCGATCTGGTCAGCAGTCTGACCCAGTCAACGTTATCTGACCTAGAAGTCATGTTGCTGTTTGCAGAATTCCATGAAAATATTAATACATGTAAGGCAAAATAATGGAAGATTCACTACTATGCTAAATCTAGATTCTAGATCGGCCCTGCAGAATACAGCAGCCACTAGTCCAGTGATGGCGAACCTTTTGAGCTTGGCGTGTCAGCATTTTGAAAAACCCTAACTTAACTCTGGTGCCATGTCACATCTAGAAATTTTTTGATATCTGCAACCATAGTAAAACAAAGACTTATATTTTTGATATTTATTTTATATATTTAAATGCCATTGAACAAAGAAAAATCAACCAAAAAAATGAGTTCGCGTGTCACCTCTGACACGTGTGTCATAGGTTCGCCATCACTGCACTAGTCAAATGTGGCTTTTTCTATTTAAATTAATTAAAATTAAATACAATTAAAAATTCAGATCCTCACTCACACTGACCTCACTTCAAGGGCACGAGAGTCAAACTCACCCACTGGTCTTTCTGTTCTTTTTAATAACAGAAAACCTCTCTCATTCTTCTAGGAAAACATGAAAGCTTCAAGTCCTTCAAGACAGGACAGAGATGCTCTCCCCAACTACCCCGCCGCCACCACACACCTGGACAGCATGGAGCGGGGAATGAGGGAAGTTCAGGAGACCCGTCCAATCCACAGAGGCCAAGGGGCCAAAGCCAAATCAAGTGGCCATTTCACTTTAAAGCATCCGGGCCATGGGCCAACGCGAGGAAGTAATGGTGTGGATGACTGTGTCTTGGAACCCCACGTCGCTATGGTCGCGGATGTAAGACCACTTTCACCTCCACACCACCGCCAAGTGACATGCCCAGTCGCCTTACCTCCTGGATGCGCTTGGGAGGAGGCGTCAGGCACCGCGGATTGACCGCGGGTTTCGGGGGGATATACTTAGTCACAGCCATCAGTTTCTGCCGCTCAAAGTGCATCACGCGCCAGTGGCGGGTCACAGCCTTGGAGCCATGGCGG